CAAGGGGGAAGAAGAGCCGTCGCCGGAGAAGACCAAGGGAAGAGCCGCCGCCGCCAGAACTAGCGTCACCGGTGCGTCGTCGCCCCTCCGGCCGGCCCTTCGTCGGCGCGCTGCCCTCCCCTCGGTCCGCTGCAGCCACCCTCCCCTCTCTTCTCTGCACCTTCAGCCGGGAGCCCATCCGGAGCAGGTCTGCGACCCTCACCCCTCTCCTGCCTCCTCCCTCACCCCCCCTCTCCCTCCTGACCGAAGCACCCTCTGCCTTGTTTTCTTCTGATCTTTGTACTGGATGATTACTGGCCGTAGATTGGATTTGGAGATTGGCGAATCTGGAGACGATGGAGCTGGAGATCCTGGGCATGAACTTCGGCTGCGTCCTCTCGGCGCTGTCGGACGCCAAGATCCCGGAGAAAGACTGCCTGCTCCCGCTCGTCTCCAAGCTCCTCGGCTACTGCATCGTGGCCGCCTCCACCACCGTCAAGCTCCCGCAGGTTCGTTCCCTTCTTGCCTGAACTTTCTTGGTGATTTCTCAAGATTACAGCATTGGTCACCCCTATTAGATTATTGTGCCATATGAATCCAAATAAGTGCGTTTCGTGTGGCTGTTTTGTTTCGTTTGGTGGTGTGTGTGTGTGTGTGAGAGAGGATGTCAGGTTCTTTACGTGAGCATGGCGTGCGAAATTGCGCATAAATAAAGGGCTGTTTGTTTGGTAGCCTGGCCTTGTTGAATCCTTGGCACGGCATGGCAAGGCCCCTGTGCTAGATTGTGCATAAAACCAACGGAGCGAGAAGCCACCGGTGGAATTCTTTGTTTGTTTGCTCCATGGTTGTGTGATCCTTGTGATTGTTAGTGTGTAGGTTGGGGTTGTTGCAAATTCTCTCTAGCCCATGAGAAATATAATCCTCCACTCCCTGAGGCATTTGCAGGTCTCACTAAACAGCTGCTTGCTTGAATCTAGAAATTGATTAGCGAGCATGATTCCTGGCCGCCCCATGCTCTGCTCTGTCACCACCAATGGTGCATTCCAATCCTGGCCAGTTGATAGAAAAACATGCTCTACAGCCCCCACAGTTCTCATCCTAAAACTGTCAAGGGAACCTTCATCCTTGATGGCTTGCTGCGTGAGGAAGCCTTCAAAAGGAACCCAATTGCCGCCAGGTTTTCAAACTTTGGCGACCCTGGAGATGAGCAATGGAAGAAGATCAGCCAGTGGGACACCACTGAAAATCTTCAGTACGGATGTAGGGTACATCTGGTCAGCATCGCTGGACGCTAAGATCCCTTCCATGGACTCCCTGCTACCATTCTTGTCAACAGTCCTTGGATACTTCATCATTGCTGGATCTACTTTCATCAAGCTCCCTCAGGTGCCTGTATCTAGTGTCATAAATTAGAAACTAGTTTTAGTCGTGGGGGCGTTTACATCTTCCCATGGCAGGTAGCTTGCTGTTTTGTGTTGTGTTGTCATGCTTAATTTTGGAAATGAATTAAAAGGTTAGGCAGGTCTGAGGTGTTGTTTGCCATTTTTGTTGTAGTTTGGCACGATTCTTGTTGTTTCATTGACCTAGTGTCCTCAACCCTTGCAATGCCAAAGATCGGCCACCAAACCTTGCCTTGAGGGGGTCAACAAAATGTATTTTTAGTTTATGAGTATTGCAGAAGTTCAGTGTGAGAGTTTGCTAATCAGAAAGGGTTGCAGGCTTTGTTGTGCTTCAGAAAGGGTTTATGAGTACACACATAACATGGATTATTACAATATCAGAAAGGGTTGCAGGCTTTGTTGCGCTTCAGAAAGGGTTTATGAGTACACACACAACATGGATTATTACAATATCAGAAAGGGTTGCAGGCTTTGTTGCGCTTCAGATGGATGATTGTAGACTGGTAGTAACCTGCCTGACAGATTTTTGTGTGCTTATTTAATCAACCAAGTGTTGCAGATAATCACACAGTATAGTATCTAGCAATGTTTTACTTTTTGAGTATCATGTCAAGATGTGTAGTGATCGAGATGTTCTTATAGCGTTTAGTGTATGGTGCTGAACTGCTGATGTAGTTGGTGCGACATGCTCAGCTATATTTGCATAAGTTTAAAGGTAGTCAATCTTAAAATGAGGATTTCAGTATATAGAAGCCTGTGGAATTATGAGGCTCATATAATGATTCGTTAGTCAATCTTCAACCTGTTGCGAAGATGAACACGATAACATGAGTTGTGGTCTTCATAAGAGAGGTGATTTAAGATAACATGTTGTAAACAAATATATCCTATAGAATAACATCCATGTCTTCATACTGAATGAATCTGCACCTGGCTGTTTCAGGAAATTGTATGTATAAGTGCAATAAGATTTCAATTACAAGTTTTTTTTTTCTATTGATCATTTATGTAAATTTGCTTTGTTGTAGCGTAGACAGCCTTCTCTTTCGATGTTCTTTGGCTGAACTATTTTTATTGCAGATACTAAAGATTTTGAAGCATGGAAGTGTTAGAGGACTTAGTGTAGCCTCCTTTGAGCTTGAGCTCATTGGCTACACAATTGCTCTGGCATATTGTATTCATAAAGGACTGCCCTTTTCAGCTTATGGAGAGCTAGCTTTTCTGCTGATCCAAGGTTTGTCTTTGACCTAATGTCATAAATGGACAGTGGGTGAAGTAGCACTACTCTCTTTTCTATTTATAAAGCTGCATAGAAACTATTCGCCAATCTTTTTAACCTACATCTGTTTCGCTTGTAGCAATTATCTTGATTGGAATCATTTACTATTACTCGCCACCAATGGGAAGCAAAACATGGATGAAAGCTTTGCTGTATCCTTTTTTCTCCAGGGATCTATTTTAGTTTTTCTTAGGTACCATCAGCAACAGTATGGAAATACAAATGGGAAATGTTGAGAAATCACTCAGTTTCAGTAACACTGCTGATTTCGTATTTATTTTACCTGCTTTCCCTAAACAATGGTTGTTTAGATATTGTGGCCTAGCTCCGACTGTTTTGGCTGGAAAAATTGATCCAGGTCTTTTTGAAATCCTTTATGTAAGTAACAAGTGGTCTTTATTTTGTGTACACTCGAAAAGTTCTGTATGATCTCGTCTTCTGATTCTGGGACTTGTGCGTTTTGCAGGCTTCACAGCATGCCATCTTCTTTTGTGCTAGAGTACCGCAGATATGGAAAAATTTCACAGTACGGCCTTTATTTTCTGTTACATCTTGCTACACCTAGCTATAAGATTGTTCAATATTTTTGTAGCAAGTTCTTTTCATCAATTGATAAAGGGATCACCGTATGTAGCTAACTAGCACTTTACTGTAACATTCTTTTAGTAGCACTGTTGCAGAACCTTTTTTTTTATCTTAAGAGATGAGTTTGAATATAGACTGGTTGTTGGTGTTATGCAGAATAAGAGCACTGGCGAGCTGAGCTTCCTGACTTCTTTCATGAACTTCGCTGGTTCCCTCGGTGAGTTGGAATAGTTAACAATAAATTTTCAAGACTTCATTTTATTGACTTGCATTCCCTTCTCAGTCTGCTGTTACTGTCTAAAACTAAACAGTATTAGCACTGTTAATCTTTAATACATTATACTACAAAGAATATGGTTGATGACTTGAATCAGTTCATATTCTTATTTGGCAAAGTACTTTTGACCTTTAGTTTAGGTAAATATTGGTTTTGTTCATCAAGTTTTACTCATATGTGATGCTAATTCTTAATGCCCCTTTCTGTTGCAGTAAGAGTTTTTACCAGCATCCAGGAGAAGACTCCGTTAAGTGGTATCCTTTGATTCTGATTATAGTTCATTACTAAACCGACTGTTTGTATGTAGCTGTTTCTGATTTGCTTCTTGACAAGCTAAACTGCTGTATCGTGTAGTGGTATGTACATTATTAGCAATATGCCCTATTTCCCCCGTGCATGATCAGTCCAGCTCTAGTCCAATAAAAGTTGTTAGTGAACCTATTGAGTTAGGTTGCTGATCTGTTCATTCAAAGTCCTGTTAGTTTAAGTTGATTTGGAAAATGCATAGATGTTGTGGGTTATTGAAAGAATATGGTACTAGTTTCAGTGACACGTACATACACTATGATTGGGATATGTCTATTTGATGCAGTATTTGTTCTCCCTTTGCTGTACTCTTCTGGACCCTCCTTGACTCCTGAAAAGTACTTATGGGCTCTGTAATCGGCATCGTAACAAACGGTACGATCTTGGGTCAGATAGCGATGTACCAAAAGCCCGTGCCGAAGAAAGGGAAGAAAGAAGAGTAATAAGGCGCGAGAGAAAGGACATGAGGTTCTTCTTGGTTGGTTTACAATTTTGCTCCAGGCTATTCTTGGAGCAAGATTGCGCCACTTACCTGCAGACCTCACGAAACAGTAGGCAGAGAATTCATGCAGACTTGTGTGACGATGAAAACAATAGGATATTTCTTTCTTTTTAATTTTTGCAAGTGCTGTAAAATGACTGTTTGTGTAGTTCGAATTGCCACCCTGTTTAGTTTACTCTGTGCAACTGTTTAATGATGCTAGAAAAATGTATATCCCTTTTTATGTTTGAATATTATTTGTTGTTTTTAGCAATTCTCTCCACTTTGGTGTTCACCGGCTATGTACCGTTGTTTCCTTTTCCAAGTAGTATAAATTCAGTGGTACAGTATAATATAGCTAGGTTTGTCATGTTCAAATCTTCGCTTGTAGAGGAATGCTCCCCAAGCAGCTCTGTCGATCAGGTCAGTTCAGGTGTGTCGGGCTTCTTTCTTCCAACTGATGAGATTCAGTGGTTCATCCCAAGTTTTTCTTTCTCCCAACGTCCAACCGCTCGCATCACCCCAAGATTTTCTTTCTCCAACTCAACTTATATGGATAGGATTTCATAAGGCCTACTAACAAGTAGGTTATCGTTTATATTTTTCAAAACTGTAGGTTGTCGTTTTTGGCTCATTGTATCTAACTCTTCTAAAAGCATCTCTAACCTATCCATTAATTCCTCGGAGTTAACCAAACCTAGCCGATATCTCAAACCGTTAGAGGAGTAAAGATTATAAGAGTCGGCCTCAAGAAGTAGCTACTCAACGATGTTTCACAAAGTAAAATTTCGACAGCCTCCCTCACAAAGTAAAATTATAAGAGTCAGCCTCAAAAAGTAGCTACTCGCCTCAGCCTCTCTCTCTCTCGATCAGCCATCACCCTTGCTGCCTGCACCAAGGAGGAGGTTGGAAAAAAAACATGCTTCGAGCCGCCCCACCGTCAACCAAGGCCGGCAGCAAGGGCGGTGGCACAGGCACAGCGGCCTGAGGACGACGGGTCGCCCTCCCCTGCTCCAGCCGGCGGCAAGCGAGCAAGGAAGCCCAGGTGGTAATTTCTTCAGAAGTAGTTTTGGTGCTGACTTGGCACGGGTTTGGTGTTGACTTGCATTCTTTTGACCGGTCGTTGCCCAGGTGGCAATCTTCTTCTTCTTTCCCAATTTTTAACTGGGTCACGCATTTCGTCGAGCAGTTGGCGCCCGCCAAGCAACAGGAGAAGACTTGGAACTTGCGGCGGTGCAAGTACACGGTGCAGGCGGCCGGGGAGCTGCGGCACGACGAGGATTGGCGATGACGCACGCGCGCGCACACACTCGCACAACACAGATGCACACACACAACATAGGCTCATCGCATCTAACTCTTCTAAGAGCATCTCTAACCTATCCATTAATTCCTCATTTCGAGGAGTTAACAAAACCAAGCCGATCTCTCAAACCGTTAGAGGAGTAAAAATTATAAAAGTCGGCTTCAAGAAGCAGCTACTCAATCGGTGTCTCACAAAGTAAAATTTCGACAACCTCCCTCACAAAGTAAAATTATAAGAGTCAGCCTAAAAAAGCAGCTACTCGCCTCAGCCTCTCTCTCTCACCCGATCGGCCATCACCCTTGCTGCCCGCACCAAGGAGGATGTTGGGAAAAAAACATGCTTCGAGCTGCCCCACCGTCAACCAAGGCCGACAGCAAGGGCGGTGGCACAGGCGCAGCGACCTGGGGACGACGGGTCACCCTCCCCTGCTCCAGCCGGCGGCAAGCGAGCAAAGAAGCCCAGGTGGCAATTTCTTCAGAAGTAGTTTTGGTGCTGACTTGGCACGGGTTTTGTGTTGACTTGCATGCTTTTGACTGGTGGTTGCCCAGGTGGCAATCTTCTTCTTCTTTCCTAATTTTTAATTGGGGACGTGCATTTCGTCGAGCAGTTGGCACGCGCCAAGCAACAGGAGAAGACTTGGAACTTGCGGCGGTGCAAGTACACGGTGCAGGCGGCCGGGGAGCTGCAGCACAGCGAGGATTGCCGATGACGCACGCGCGCACACACTCGCACATCAGATATGGACACGCACAACATAGACTCATTGTACCTAACTCTTCTAAGAGCATCTCTAACCTATTCATTAATTCCTTATTTCGAGGAGTTAACCAAACCTAGCCGATCTCTCAAACCGTTAGAGGAGTAAAAATTATAAGAGTCAGCCTCAAGAAGCAACTACTCAACTGGTGTCTCACAAAGTAAAATTTCGGCAGCCTCCCTCACGAAGTAAAATTATAAGAGTTAGCCTAAAAAAGCAGCTACTCGCCTCAGCCTTTCTCTCTCTCGCCCTACCGGCCATCACCCTTGCTGCCTGCACCAAGGAGGAGGTTGAAAAAAAACATGATTCGAGCTGCCCCACTGTCAACCAAGGCCGACAGCAAGGGCGGTGGCACGGGCGCAGCGGCCTGGGGACGACGGATCGCCCTCCCCTGCTCCAGCCAGCGGAAAGCGAGCAAGGAAGCCCAGGTGGCAATTTCTTCAGAAGTAGTTTTGGTGCCGACTTGGCACAGGTTTGGTGTTGACTTGCATGCTTTTGACTGGTCATTGCCCAGGTGGCAATCTTCTTCTTCTTTCTCAATTTTTAACTGGGCCGCGCATTTCGTCGAGCAGTTGGCGCGCGCCAAGCAACAGGAAAAGACTTGGAACTTGCGACGATGCAAGTACACGGTGCAGGCGGCCGGGGAGCTACTACAAAGCGGGGATTGCCGATGACGCACGTGCGCACACACTCGCACAACACAGATGCACACACACAACATAGGCACATCGTATCTAACTATTCTAAGAGCATCTCTAACCTATCCATTAATTCCTCATTTCAAGGAGTTAACCAAACCTAGCCGATCTCTCAAACCGTTAGGGGAGTAAAAATTATAAGAGTCGGCCTCAAGAAGCAGCTACTCAACCGATGTCTCACAAAGTAAAATTTCGACAGCCTCCGTCACAAAGTAAAATTATAAGAGTCAGCCTAAAAAAGCAGCTACCCGCCCCGGCCTCTGTCTCTCGCCCGATCGGCCATCACCCTTGCTGCCTGCACGAAGGAGGAGGTTGAAAACAAAAACATGCTTCAAGCTGCCCCACCGTCAACCTAGGCCGGCAGCAAGGGCGGTCGCACGGGCGCAGCGGCTTGGGGACGACGGGTCGCCCTCCCCTGCTCCAGCCGGCGGCAAGCGAGCAAGGAAGCCCAGGTGGCAATTTCTCCAGAAGTAGTTTTGGTGCTGACTTGGCATGGGTTTGGTGTTGACTTGCATGCTTTTGATTGGTCGTTGCCCAAGTGGCAATCTTCTTCTTCTTTCCCAATTTTTAACTTGGTCGTGCATTTCGTCGAGCAGTTGGCGCGCGCCAAGCAACAGGAGAAGACTTGAAACTTGTGGCAGTGCTAGTACACGGTGCAGGCGGCCGGGGAGTTGCGGCACGGCGAGGATTGCCGATGACGCACGCGCGTACACACTCGCACAACACAGATGCACACGCACAACATAGGCTCATCGTATCTAACTCTTCTAAGAGCATTTCTAACCTATCCATTAATTCCTCATTTCGAGGAGTTAACCAAACCTAGCCGATCTCATAAATCGTTAGAGGAGTAAAAATTATAAGAGTCGGCCTCAAGAAGCAGCTACTCAACCGATGTCTCACAAAGTCAAATTTCGACAGCTTTCCTCACAAAGTAAAATTATAAGAGTCAGCCTAAATAAGCAGCTACTCTCCCCAGCCGCTCTCTCTCGCCCGATCGGCGATCACCCTTGCTGCCTGCACCAAGGAGGAGGTTGAAAAAATAAACATGCTTCGAGCCGCCCCACCGTCAACCAAGGCCGGCAACAAGGGCGGTGGCACAGGCGCAGTGGCCTGGGGACGACGGGTCGCCCTCCCCTGCTCCGACCGGCGGAAAGCGAGCAAGGAAGCCCAGGTGGCAATTTCTTCAGAAGTAGTTTTGGTGCCGACTTGGCACGGGATTGGTGTTGACTTGCATGCTTTTGACTGGTCATTGCCCAGATGGCAATCTTCTTCTTCTTTCCTAATTTTTAACTGGGCCGCACATTTCGTTGAGTAGTTGGCGTGCGCCAAGCAATAGAAAAAGACTTGGAACTTTCGGCCGGGGAGCTGCGGCACGACGAGGATTGCCGATGACGCACGCGCGCACACACTTGCACAGCACAGATGCACACCACATAGGCGTGCGTTGGCAGAGAGAGAGAGAGAGCAGCGACGGGTGCTCCGGCGACGGCCAGAGCGGCGATTGCGCGAGCTGGGAGTCGATTCGAGCGCGACGTCATCGACCCGGCATGCAGGGACGCTTATGTGACAGAGCGCATGTTGGCGCCGGTCTCGACTCCTGTTCGGGCCTCTTGTCCAGCAGGTCAGCCACGGCGCGCCGGGCACAGGTTGCAGCCTGACGGCCCGCGCAAAACGGAGGCAAGTCACTCGTGTGCCAACGCCCAGCTCCTCCGGCCGCTCGAGCGCACCACCTCCGCCGCATGACCATCATGGACGACGCTGTCGTGGTCCTCATCCGATCCCGCCGCGCTAGGCAGGAGTCGGGGACACTTGTGGATATAAAAAAATGACATGGGCTGTGACATGTCGGTCAAACCTAGGTGATGTGTCAAGTTTTGGCTAAAACCGTGTCCACTTCATATTCTCAAAGCGGTATGAGAGACTAAACTAATCCTATTTTAAAAGCTTAAGAGACTAAGTTTCATGGTAGTGGAATTCAAGAAAATATACTTTTCCCTTTATAAAATACACCCAATGGGCATCTTATATTTTACTATAATTGTAAAAAAACTAGGAAGTACAATAGAAAGTCAAATTGAACACAAAACGACTGAAAATAAAACCAAATTATAACTAAAACCATACTAATCGTCTTCTAAAGTCGATTGTATGCCAACCGTTGCAGCTTGAAAATTGCACTGGACCGGTAGTAAGGGAAA